AGATAGCATTGTTGGATAACCTAGCTGATCCCTTCACGAAGACTCTGACTGTCAATGTCTTCGAGAAACATGTAGAGGGTCTTGGTTTACGATGTGTTGCAGCTAGACTTTGAGTATAAGTGGGATAATTGTTATGACATGCGTTTGTATACCAAAAGTTTAGCTTTAGTATAAGTGGGAGATTGTTGGAGTATATAGTAAAGCAAACTTTTATGTGAGCTTTTATGATGTATTTATGATTTTCTGGTTGGCCGAAATAAATGTTTTCACATTGTTACACTCTTTATGATTGCATGTATCTAAATGTCCAATTATCTTATATCGTAGACAATGTGGTGTGTTAGTAGTCACACAAAAGATTACATTGTCGGTTCCTCATAAGATATAAATGGTACTCACAACTGAGATAGTTATGGACATGACTATCGATTTAGGTTGTAGTATAAATTGAATAAAGCTTGTCTTGGCTATCAGATTATACTAGTGCGCTGCGTCACATTGAAAGGATCACAGTTGAGACGTGTTCTTCTATTCTGACTATCATGAAGAACCAAGGCCTCAGTGACTCCCCTAATTCTTGACCCTAACTGTGATACTTAGATATGTGGGGTATTTGTTTGTTACTTTGAGAACCAAGTATTGGTTCAATATGCTATGTATCTTGGGTAACGATACTATCTGCATGATATCTATTTGTTGGCATTAGGGCACCGTGTCCTGGACATCCAGGTTGATGACGCCCCCTTAAGGAACTCATAAGGATTATCGTATAAAAAACCCTTCAGGTGGATTTAATACGTACGATAATGAGGTTGAGTGGTACTACTTAAGGAATAAAAGATATTAATTAATTAAAGCAGTCAGAAGCTTTAATAATTAATGGACGTGCGATATTTTAAACATGGGGAACTATATCGAGTCTGATCGAAGAACTGATTCATTTTGGGATAGGACAGGAGTGCAATATTAATTCTTTAGCGGAATGAATTAATATTTACGGGCCAAATTGTGTTCTGGGCTGAACATAAGAATTTGGGCCTGTAGGGAGCCCAAAACCTAACCTTCTAAGAGATCCCTAGGCTGGCACAAGGACCTCTACAAAAAGGAGGGATTACACATCCTGAACCCTATGCATTATCACAGAACGTACATTCAGCCACCATCGTGAGGAGAAAGTGACGGGAAGGGTTCAGAGAAGACGAAACACAATCTGCTCCTTTCAACCGTTTGGTATATCGTCGTCCATCCGGCGTCCAAACGTGGTCGGGACACAGACTAGAAGATCGCTCAGATTTAATCAAAGCCTCGAAGAAAGGTATTTCTATGTTCATACTTTAGGAGCATGACTAGGGTATATTGAAATCATGTATGTACGTGTTTGGTGTCCAATATCGATCTGTGAGATGGACCACCTCGCCGGAGTGTTCCAGCAGATCCTTGCTCCCGGATTCTTCCCCACAAAAGGCACAATGCGGGTCGAGATCAAGGAAGCCGAGACTATCTTTGGTTCGACGCCTCCAGAGCGTTGCAAGCCAAAAAAATGAAGGCGTGTTTGGGGGTGTTGGCAGCCCCCAAACCACTCCATTCCAAGGGACGGATGTACCTTGGGACCGAAAGAACTCGTAGATACATGAGGGCTCCTTGGTGTAATGCCCCATTTTGATTTAAACGAAAATCATTGACTTTTTAGAAAAAAAAAATAAATTAAAATTTTTCAAATTTCAATTCAATCGTTTATGGCGTTACTCATTTATATCAAATTTCCTTTTTCATGTCATAACAACAAATCATAACATAAATCATCATTCATAAAATTGAACTCCCATAAAGGGTTCATCCAAATCATACATTACCCAAAATGGGTTTTCAAATCATCACGGTATTCACGGGGCATCTCCCCAACATATTTCAAATCTTAATATTCTCAAGTTCATAAATTCATAAATCAGTTCATAAATAGCGGAAGCGACAAATATTATGCTGGTCTCAATGACTGACCACCACTCGCATCCCTCCGCTGTGCCCGCACTTACTAACCTGCAACCGTGAAGAAATAGGTGGGGGTGAGCACAATTGGAATCCGTGGTGCTCACCACTATGCAATAAACATTAATCATAAATAAAACAAGTATGGTCGCAACATGAATACGTAAATAATTAGTTATCCCAACCTCCTATCCCAAGTTTGTTCTCATGTGCACACCTATCTCAATAGACTAATGCCGACTATATATTGAAAGCCACGATCCTTGGCCTTCTGGTCTTACAACGAGTGTCCAGCCAGTAGGAGTCTCCCCCGAAGGCCTGGCCTCACCATCGGACTTACATCGGGGTACTTATCGCTGACCAAGCACAACCTTGGTCTCAAGCGACGTGTCCTTCGCAAGGACGTAAAGAGGAGATTACCCCATCAGGGTCGTTCTATATTTACGGGGATAACCCTTCGACGGCCGATACAGCTCACCTCGAAGGCTACATGGTTCGCTTACATACATTGATCATACCACATGAAAGGCAATAATTTACTGAATGGCAATTTTAAATAAAAGCCACCTGGTTACCGAAACGGTAGATAAAGCACAAAAATTTGATAGGAATGCGAGCTCGACTCGTCGAACACCTACATTAATATAACGGGTCCTATCAACAACTATCCAACATATGGATTACAAAAACTTAAGGCATCTAAGGCTCATACCATCAGCACTTAGATCAACTTATCTCATACGAGTCACATAAACATGCATTTAACGAGTAAACACCATTTCCGAACACCACACAAGTTTTTCCAAAAATAAACCCGAGAACCATTTTTTAAATCAACATAACTAGCATCACATAACTCATATGAACATGATTTAAGTCTAGAATTAAACCTACGGCATGTGTCTACAACTTTCATGAAGAACTCAAAAGCAAATAACGGCATTTAGCAGGTGATAATTTAACAAACATCCAAAATAGAGTAGCAATAAAAAATTGAGAACATGTAACCGACTAGACTTCAATATTAACAAGATAACTAGAGCTACAAACATGCTTTTAATGAGATTCTAAGACCACATGACAGATAACTCAAATATCTACAACTTTGCTGAAATTCACATTGGCAAATAATGACATTATCAATGAGTTTAAACATAAAAAATATTTAGTTCATGAAATCCGTCAGAAATAAATTCAAATTACAAAATACACCTCAATATTTAGACACTAATTCATGCTAAAAATATTCAAATGACATCATTTTTGCATGCTTAGAAAGCTAAGAGGCAGTCCTACAACTTTCATTCAGAACACCGAAGCAGATAAGGTCATTAAGAATAGGGCTGATATTTTTTGACCAAAAATCGAAAACCAAACCGAACCGATGTGCTAAAAAACTGAACCGAACCGCCTCATGTGTATCGGTAACCGAATTTCGGTAACCGATAAGTTACTGATTCGGTATCGGTTCCGAACCGAACCGATAAGCTAATAAAAAAAGAACTTAATATATATATATAAGTAAAAAGAGAAAACCTATCTCTGTTGTTCACAATTCTGTCAATTCACTTATTTCTCTTCTTCTTCGAACAAGAGTACAAGAGAAATTAGGGCAACGTAGACTCGTCAGTGTCGTCACCGTGCCATCCGCCATCCGCCGCCGCCTCCGCCTCACCAAGCACCAGGTATTTTATTCTTATCTTACTTCCAAAAGTGTGATCTTCTTTCCTCCCAATTGTTGGCTTTTATGAAATTGAAGTGTAAAGAGAAAAAAGATTAGTTCTTGCGTAGAGTCTGTGTGGATTTGCAAGAATCAACATGAAACGACGTCGACAATGAGTACAGAATTCAAAGAGCTGAAATAATATAAACCCACAAACCCAAAAACAAAAACAATAATTCCCCTTTCTCTGCATTTTTATCGAATGTGATGCTGTAAAAAAAAAAAGGAAAAGAAGAAACAAATTCTGTGTGTATATAATAAAGAATGTGGAATAAAAATAGTGGGGTTTGAACTCTTTGTCCCTCCGTGTGTGTGTATGTGTTTGTGTGTGAAACTGTATATTACTGTATAGTGTATATTACTCTCTGTCCCTCCGTGTGTGTTTGTGTCCCTCCGTATGTGTTTATTTATTATCGATGTTCTCGGTTTAATTTGATATATATACTTGATTTTGTATTAGGAATGGAGAGTCAGAGTGTGAGTTCGAGTAATCCGGCTCTAAGCACCAATGTCAATGTCATTGAAATGAAAGACGGAGATAATCAAACTCAAGAAATATCGAGAAACACGAATGTTTCACAAAAAGGCAATACCAAAAAGAGAAAGGAGAGGAGCATTGCATGGGATCATTGTGTTAGGAAAATTATTCACGATGATGAAGGAAATGAGGAGATGTTTGCTATTTGCAAACATTGTGAATTACAAGTGCCGGCCGATTCGAAAAGGAATGGAACTAGAGGCCTTCTCAATCATTTGTTTTATAGGTGTGAGTTCTCCTCAACTTTTTTTTTCCTGTTCAACATTAAAATTTAATTTAATGCTAAATTAAAATTTCCTCATGCTACCATCAGGTCCATCACTATTTTTTTTTCTTGTTCAACATTAAAATATTTTCCTGTTAATTTAATGCTAAATCAAACTTTACTTTTGTATTATAGGTGTGAGAGTTCTCCTCTTCGCGTGGTGATGGACAAGAGCCAACCCACATTAACTCAGTCGATGATAGGATGTGAAGTAAAAATTTCCGACTTTAACAAAAAAAAGACTCGACAACATGTGTATGAAGTGGATAATCAAAGCGGAGATGCCTTTTCGAACCGTAGAGCAACCGGACTTCAAAGAATTTATTCATGATCTTCAACCTCATTATAAGATTCCTAATCGGAGGAAGATTGCGAAGGACGTGTGGAGTTTATTTTGCGATGAGAAAGCAAAGATCAAAAGCATCATTGGTGATCTCCGTGTGAGTATCACAACCGATACTTAGACCTCTATCCAAAATATCAATTACATGGTGGTGACGGCCCATTTTATCGACTCAGATTTCCATTTACACAAGAGGGTGCTCAACTTTTGTAAGATTACTTCTCATAAAGGTGAAGACATAGGAAGGTGTCTCGAAGAGAAGTTGGTCGAATGGGGCATAAGTAAGGTGTTTACCGTTACCGTAGACAATGCGAGCTCCAATGATGTGGCCGTGGAGTATTTGAAGAATCAACTCCGGAAGCATGATAGTGATAGTCTTATGCTTGATGAAAACTTGCATATGAGGTGTGCTTGTCACATAATTAACTTGATTGTGAAGGATGGAATGAAAGAGTTAGTAGATTCCATTGAAGCCATCTGAAATTGTGTGAAGTATATTCATTCTTCAAGTGCGAGGTTGGATAAGTTTCGGGAGTATGCGGTTTTAGAGAAGAAGGACAAAATGTCCACTATCCCTATGGATGTTGTGACTCGGTGGAATGCCACATATATCATGCTTCATGGTGCTTACAAGTTTAAAGGTGTATTTGCAAGGATGGTGGAAAAATTTACGCCATTTAAGACATACTTTGAAGATGGAAGAGTGGGGCCTCCGATGGATGAAGATTGGGAAAAGGCTATGGGATTTGCACATTTTCTCAAGAAGTTCTATGATGCCACCATCAAGCTTAGTGCCACCAAGACTCCAACCTTGCATCTTGTTCTAAAAATCTTGATAAACTTGAAGATTGAGATTAAGGCTAGAATTAGAGATAAGAAAAATATTGTGTTGCAAAATGTGGCTACTTCTATGAAGAAGAAGTTTGATAAATATTGGGGCTCTTTGGAAGATATGAACATGTTAATGTTTGTAGCCCAAACCCTTGATCCACGATATAAGTTTCAATTGATGGAGTTGCAATTAGGGGAGCTTGGCTACACTCTTAATGAAGTTGAGCACCTCAAGAGTCGGGTGAAAGCACACTTGTATCTTATGTATGAAATTTACAAAGGAACGGAAAAGTCATATGTGGATGTGCATGAGGATGTGGATGATGGTGTTGATCTTGGTGATGATGATGGTGATGATGATGATGTGGAAGTTCGGATAGAGCGGAGACTTAATAAGAAAAGAAAGAAAGCAAAACTCAAAGAGATAGCTAATGAAATTGACAAGTACTTTAATGATGCATATGAAAGTACAAAGAATGAGGATTTCGACTTATTGGGGTGGTGGAAAAGTAAAATCTCAAACTACTCTATTCTTTCCAAGGTTGCTAAGGATGTACTTGCTTTTCCTAGTTCGACCGTTGCTAGTGAAAATGCCTTTAGCCTTGGAGGAAGGATTGTGGATCCGTTTAGAGCTTCTTTGACATCTAGGATGGTCGAGGCCTTAGTTTGCACAAATGATTGGCTTAAAGGAGAGGGATTTCAATTTCACAAGGAGCCTACGGAAGAAGAGCTTGAGTTCTACATGGAACTCGAACAATTGGAACAAAGTAAGTAACCATTTTATTAATATTTTGAAATTTATATTGTGCATAAAATATTTTTTTGCTTATTGACTTATTTGTAATATTTTATAGATATTCTCAATACAAATGAAATGCCACCACCTCCATCTAAAAGTGCAAATCCACCCGAGTCCGGAGTTAAAAAATTACCGTCACATCCATCTCGAGGGGGAAGAGGGGGAAGGGTTCGATCAAACCGTGGTGGACGTGGCGGTGGAGCTACATCATCGAGCAAATTAATAGATGAGGTTCTTATTCTTTATTTTATTATAATTAGTATTCTTTCTTTTAAATTTTAATAATATTATTTTTATTATCTTAATGCATTATTTTTTTTTCTTATGTAGGAGTAGACGAGCGGTGGACGAATGCTTTGAGGTTGAGCTATTTTATAATTTTATTGGTGATGAATTGGATATATCTTTGACTTGTGAGTTGTGAATTGTGATTGGTATTCATAATCATATTTGTGTTGTGATTGTGATTAATTAGTTTGTTTGATGGAAAGAGCATGGTGAACTTGTAATATGATTTGGATATGGTGTGGTGTGTAATGTGTTGTGTTGTGACTTGTGATTGGATATGGTGTGGTG